CCGCTTGGTTTCAAGCTCCTCATATTTAGCCTCGGCCTCTTTAATATCGGGTAAGACCTTGTCCTTCATTACATTCTCATAATGGTTCTTTTCCTGAAACAGCATCAAAACTTCAGTTCTAAGTGTAAAACAAGTAAAGAACCAAACTCTTAAAGAAGGTGGACCGTTTCTGCGGCTTGGAGTTCTTGTTCAATCTCCTTTAGCTCATTCTCTGCTTCCTCAAAGGCGTCAATTTCACCCTTGGCTGACTCTGCATGCACGTGTTAACGAAAAATGAATGTTGCTTGCTTGTTTGAATTATGTTAAAGCAAAGTGATCTGTTAATAAAGATGATTGGTCCTCATGTTTTTAACACAAATCCAAGAACATACCATATAAATTTTCAAATGCAGCTTTAAGTTCGTTAGCCTTCAGTTCAGCTTCTTTCGAGCAGTCTTGGAGCTTTTCCAGCAAGGATTCTTCCTCCTCTATCTCTTCTCGGGATTTCTGAGAAATCCAAAGAACACCAATGCTTGAGGAATGATGAAATGGGAAAATATTCACAATCAAGCAGTTTCAACCAACAAAAAAAAAACTAACCATGATTTCTAGATGAAGCTCATTAGCACTTGATGTAGGTGATGCTTTGGTTTCAGCAGCGACTGAATTTTTCAGATCCTGCATTTCAAGTTCCTTCCTTGTCAAATCTTTCTCTAGTTGGGTATGCTGCTTCTGTTACATAAAAAAAAACAAAACATATGCAAAAAGCTTAGCTTAATGAAAAACAAGCGAAATGTTTATGTTAAAAGTTGGGTGCATTCGACATGACCAGTGTATGAAACAATGGATACAGTTAAAGCAGTGACATTACACTACCTTCAGCTTGCGCACTCTCAATTCAAGACTTTCAAGATTCATTTCTGCCTCCCTCTTTCGTCCCCTGCATTCCTGTATCTCACTTTGTTCTTTTGAGGCCTCTATTGCAAGATCCTTGATTTGGTCGTCAAAAGAAGCACACAATCGAGTAGGTCTTCGAGGACGGGGAGGAAGAGTTGTCTGAACAGGCCCACGGGAAAACCTAAGGAAATAATAGGTCGATTACTATTATGTTGACGCAGATCTTCCTCTATCGTTGAAATCAACATAAACATATAGCCTTTTCACTAAACAAGTCAAAAGTGGGCCCTAGATATCTCAACTTAAACCTCTTATGGAAGAACATTATCTCATTTTACAAAGTTGTAGACTCTGTTGAGAAAAGATTTGTGTCTGGCTCTCTGGGTGATTTATTCTTGCCATCTCACTAGCTACTTACATTCGGTATCCATCTGTTGTGAAAACATCCTTTAGATGCGCGAGCCTTCTCTCAAAGGCAACTGTCTTGCCAACTTCATAATTCTCTGCAAGCACTTGCCTCTCCACACCACTCTAGAAATATCCATAAACCAAAGCTAAAAATAAGTCCCACCACACAGGGGTTCGAGGATAAGAAGTTAGTAAAATACAGAGAAAATCTGAAAGTAAGATTACCACATCCACCAAAACGTTAAGAACAGTAGGATTCTCAGAGTGCAAGACAGAGAGAATAGTTGGGTGTTCTGTTTGAGGCATCATGTGCCTGGGTATTATTAACCTGCAGAAAAAATTACCATGGCGTTTGCAATATAACTAAAACTATTCATTCATCAAAGCAGAACATAAACAGAAATATTGGAAAGTATTTTATAGATATGAACCTTGGTCTTGAAAAGTCATAGATGATAATCTTCAGATTGTTATAATTGGCTTCCTTTCCACAGCCTCGCAGAGTATTTAAATCTTCATGATCGGTCACAATAAAGGCATTCAGGAGGTTGCCAAGAGCTTGTTCAACTGCAGAAGCCCATTTATTACCATTGACCAATGTCTGTAGAATACCACACGATTAGAAGAATTCACACTAAAACAGCAGAGATTGTTGTCGCTACACTTGAATATGTCAGCTTTTATTTTAACATGCATGGTCCTAGAAGTAAACATGTGAACTAACTCGCTTGGATTTCATTGTGCACAGATGTGCAGAAGGAACAAATAGAAACTTACCACATGAGCACCAATCGGACCAATAGGTGGTATTTTAAATCTGCGATGATGTCTCTCAATTGCTCGCAAAAGACTAATGACTCTATCCCCTCCAAACGCAGTAACCTAGCAAGAGACGTCTGATTAACAAATCCTCAAGATTGTCATCTTCAAAAAGAATAGAAATAACATCCAGAGCCTGCTAGTAGATCCATGTAATTGGATATGCACCTTGTTTGTTTGATGTTTCTTCAAATCATTGATGTGGGCGTTTATGTTTCTTTGATTCTTTTCATGGTCTCTAATCTAAAAGCCAAATAGAAGAACGTAAAGAAATTAAAAACTATGACATAAAACAGCCCCACTATGAAACAGAGTAAACTCTAGGACGAAGGTTCGTAAGAATAAACTACAAGCAGTATCATACCATATCCTCTATGCGTTCCATCTCCTTCCTTCCGGCTGATGCTTGTTCTATTACCATGTCCTCTTCTTCCTTCAAACTATAGTATAAAATATTTAATCCAAGCTTAGGGGGAGAAATGGTGAAAAGGATAGCTCAAGAGAAACAAACGTAAAAAATATATAATGACCTGGAAAGCAATGATTCAGCCTTCTTCTCAACCTCTAGCTTCAATTGATTAAGTTTTTCTTTGATTTCAGATTGTTCAGCCTGTATCACTACCAGCCTGTAAGAAAGTATATATACACACACACACACTAAACTACGCCTCAATCACCATACCAAACACTGAGCATAAAACTGAAAGGATCTTAGTTTGGGCCTTTTCTAGATAATTTTAATGATAAAACGGACCTCTGTGCTTCTTATAGTCATTTCGTCAATATCTTTAATTTGCCATTCAAGCCTTCTTGGTACATTTCAATTTGCTGCTTTTGTAACACTGCAGAGCTGAAATCATATACAAATTACAGAATAATATAAATTACATAGAATACTATAATAAAAATATGTAGATATGATTCTTACATGGTCGTTTGATGCAATGGATGTCTATGAACAATGTCAGATGTTGGTGTTGGTTGATTCCCACCATTTTCATTCACCTGTAAAAGTAGTGAATTGTTTTACCTTTCTCTTCAAGCCTAATCCAATTCCAGGAAAGAAAGTCAAGCAAAAGTGTAGATGAGGGATTTAATAAACATCCTAGCAAATACACTAGAGCAATATAATCACAACCTCGTTATTCTTCAAAGATGCATATCCTGAAAAGTAGGAAGTACTAATGATAATACTGATAATCCATACTCATATTTCAGCCAGATTTGGAATGAACCAGTTTCACCAGCCAGATTCTGAAACATTCTGCATATCTCAGACTTGTAAACAACCTCAAATGCATATCTCAATCTCAGTACTCTCATCAAAAAACTCTGCGGATTATTTTTAATGAGTTCTACTACTTTTTATGCCAACTCATATACCTCTATGGCATGTAAAACATGTTGTTGCTCTTCTTGGCTTCAATTAACTTCTTTTCTGAATCAACATCATCTATGCAAATCGAGCAACCCGTCTCTTAAACTCAGGTCAGTCCATGAATTCATCTCTGGCTAGTTCCTCGTTGTAACAATAGAGAGAATCTCCTTCCAAACTCAACGAGACCAATCGTAATTACTCCTCTTCTACACT